ACAGTCTGCCTTCAACAAGGGTCAAAGGGTTCATGACCCAAACCATCAAATATGGAGGTTCCGCAGATTGTCGAGGGTTCAGCCTCCTGATGAGTCGGTGCAACTCCGACGAAACAATCCATCATCATCAGTTTTTTTTTTTTTTTTTCAATCTTTGTTTCTTGCCTTGTGCTGTATGTTTACCCACCCTCCTCCCCTCGACCCTCCAGCCTGTCCTTCGCTGTTTTCTATTCTTCTGGCTGCTTTGCTGTTTTTTGGTAATTGTACTTATGCCCTCCCTCCTCCCCCATACGTTTCAGCCTATGTGCTGCCTCACTGCTTGTTCCTCCTCTCATGCCTCTAAGTTCATGTGCCTCCCCAATGCGTTTCAACCTATGTGCTGCCTCGTTGTTTGTTCCTCCTCTCGTACCTCTTAAGTTCATGTGCCGTGTTGTGGTTTGCCATGCTATGGTGTTGGTTCCCTGCCCTCTGCCTTGCTGTCCTTTGCCATCCCCCCTTCCCTAAGTTTGTTTGTGGGGTGTTATTGCATGTGTTCTGGTCTGTCTGAGAAAGAGGAGGCGCCACCCACCCCCCTCACTTTGTCTTACTGCTTTCGCATATTTGGCTGCTTTCGACTTAAAGTTTACGCCACTTTAAATAAGTACCCTCACCACAAATGGACACACGAATGGTTTTACCCCGCCGCGTTGAAAAATCACCCCCCGCGCTTTGCATCTTGCCCACAGTGTGCCGACGTGTCTGGTCGGAGCAGCACGGGTATGATATGTCGTACTCGTGCGAAACTCATGCGACACACACATGCTACACACATGCTACACACACACACACATGTTCTAGCAGAAGATTCATTCGATTTTGCTGCCAGTCCCGGGGTTGGAGATTTACCTGTTGGCCGGTGCATTCACGCTACTTCCATCGATAGGATGAGTGGCGGTGGACCTGCATCCTTGCACGATCGTAATCAATGGCTCGATAGACTGGCCTCCCCCCTCGTACCCTCACGCCCATGCTTTCCGCTCCGCCTCGACTTTTCCAGGGCTCGCACCTCGAGTTTTCCCCGCGTTGCGTCGCTTCGCACGACCTGCCACCGCCTTCCCACTGCGCGGACCTTAGGCCCGCCTCACACCGTTTCGCACCCTCGCTTCAGTCTGTCCCTGCCGCTGCATCAGCGCCAGTCCCTCCCTGGGACCGCGGCAGTCCCTCCATCGGGCCGCCCCTTCGTCACTTTTTGTTGGGCCCGTGTCCTGCCATTACGGTGGGCCCGTTGCAGTTCTTATATGTATAGAGAAATAATCAGCAATAATATTTTGCAATACTATGCATCATAATGGAGAAAGAATGAACATGATAAATAATAATGATGTCATGATTAAGTAAACTTTTCCACTAGAGCTAACTCTGATGACCATCATCTCTCTCTCCATTCCACATGGTTTAGTGAAAAGGGTCCTAGTATGGTTTCACCAGAAAGACAATGAATCAGACAGCAGAAGCAAGATGGAAGGAAGGAGGGAGGAGGGAAGGAAAAGAAGGAAGGAAGGAGGGAATACACATGCAATAACAACTGAATGCGCGAGGCTTTACTTTCACAGTGAACGCACAGAGTTCATGGTATGCAATACCGAGTACCACGATCATCCTTCTGCCTCCTGCTGAGATGATCATCTCAGCCATCATCCATAATATATAGATAACTTGCTAAACATGGAATACTAGAATCAGCCACCTACTCCCCTATGTCAATCCTCATCGTGATCGTCCTTGCGTCTCACACACCACAATGTCATACTCTACAACTCCTCAGTGATGTGCTCTTGTTCCCATTCCCTTAACCTGGTATTCAACATCAAGCTCACTGAAGGAAGGAAGGACAGAGGAGGAGGAAAGGAAAGGACGGAAGGAAGGAGGGAAGGAAGGAAGGATGAGGAGGAGGTAGAGGAGGAAGAGGTGGAGGACAAGGAAGTGTCTGGATGAAAGCCTTAAAACTGAACTTGCAAGCCTAAAAACTAAATTGTTCTCTTCCCACTGAGGGAGAGAACAAAATCGGCAATTATATTACATGAATGGCATCTACTATAATTACACAGGCGTCTACTTTTATATAGCACAAGAACATGGCCAGAGTACTATACAATGTTGTTCCCACCATGGCAAGTCCAGGTAGTTACTTGAAAGGAAGCAGCCTCCTTCTGAAGGCCTGCACACTTGTTTTGACTGTCCTCAGACTTTACATAGCTTCTTCGTTGAAACGACATGATCAAGCTCCCTCCTCTTCCCTAAGCCCTGAAGTCCTTCTTTCTCTCCACGCATGCATGAGACTGTATCAATTGCAAGTTCTGCAAGTGAGATCCCAACGCGCTGTACGTCGTCTAGGCAATTGTCCATTCGTGGAGGTCCACACCAGCGCAGGCCAGGGATGCCACATCCTCAAGAGTTTTCGTGGAAACATGAGCATTGCACATGTTGGCAAATGCATGCATGTGCTTGAGGCCGTATTGCCGGAGAGGGCCACAGAAGGACTCGAATGTGCGGGCAGCAGTCCGCAAGCAATCCCAATCATCAACGAGGGGAAGGCCCATAGGTCTTCTTGCCAACAGCATATGCTCAGCGTTCTGAGCCCCAAAAATAAGGGAAGCAATGAGTCCAACCGAGCGGTCAACATGAGAGCGATGGGACGTAATCTGGCTAAGCTGATAAAGAGCCTTCTGTTTCCTCTCCGATCCCTCAGGGGCATTCTTGTATTTTGTCCAGAAATAGACAAGGTCAGCATCACGCTGAGGAACCCTTCGGCCAGATTGCTGCCTCTGTTTCCATGTCAGGAAGTCCGATCCTAAATGGTCGATGTCCTGCTGTGACACCCACTGTTGGCGCGGCGGCTGCGCTCTCACCATAGGATCAACAACCAAAGCAGGATCGAATCCCATGTACATGGCACAGACATCTACATCGCTCTTCACATCTCCGTACTGCATGACATGAGATCCAAGTGCATAGTCCCCATTCTGAGTTCGAGATTTGACAAGCTCGTACTGATCGTGCAGTGTCTTTTGGAGAAGGTTGCTGTTTTCGCTGTCTTCCATCCAACTGACACTATAAAGATCCCCGAGGCAGACATGATACCCTTGGGGAAGAGGTGGGTCATCAAAGGGACAGTAAGTTGCCCAACTGCTTTCATCCGCATTCGAAGCGGTTGTTGCATACACATTCCACTCAGGCTTCAGCAGTCCTTCAAAGATGCTGCCGCTTTCGCATGCCTCCAAGTAGAACACCAGTTCCTTGAAGCCGCCTGCCTTGTGCTTCTTCTCCAAAACATCATTGATCTGGTCAGCCCATAACTCATCTTCCCACCCTGGCATGCCCAGAGTACCTGGCCCACCATGGTCCGAGTAAAAGACGAAAACATGGTCCTCTGGACCGCTCGCAATCACCTTCTCGCTGCCTATGCCCTTCACGGCCGTCTTGTTCCCAGCCAACACACTCAGAACAACTTCTGGTCGTACACTATCCCCTGTGTAATCCTTCGGCACACCCTTGTAAACATCACTCCCATTCGGAGAATTGATGATCACCCCCTGTCGTGGATTCTCCTCGTTGTAAGCTATGTCGTCATACATGAAGACTATGATGTTCTCATCCTTCAGACCATTCCTTGACAAAACCTGATACGCGTGGCAGACATCCGCCTGGTGACGGTAGTTCCAGTATCCTGAGGACCCTGCAATCAGCAAAGCCCACTTTGTTCCACCCGTCTCCTCACCGACCAATGATGCAAATGATGCCACATGATTTTGAGCCCCACCACTCAAGGAAACACCATTTGTGATGTCGAAAGTCGTTCCTGCCGGTCGCTCCGTTGTCAAGCTTTCCCACAACATGTCTCTCCGAGCAAAGGCTCCTCGAATGCTACCGAATGACAGCAGCAAGTTGACTGAGAGCACAACAAAGGAGAGGCATAACCGCGGCCACTGCTTGGCAACACCCTGGCACCAGCAATTGCAGCTGCTGTCCAACATCCTTGTCACCCTCATAACTGCGGCTTCTACTCCTTTGAGTCAGTGCTTGCAACGTCAGTGTCACAGTTGTAATGCTCCCTTTGCAGATGATGATGATGACAGCATACCACCAACCCAATAAAGGGACCTTGACGATAAAAGGTCAGGCAGCCCAGCCGGTGGCGTTCCTTCTGCAAATTTAAAGTCAAAAGCAGCCAACACTGCTAGCCCATCAGATTGTTTGTGCCAGGAAAACAAAGGACCTGGTAGGTTTAATTAAGGATGCATGACAAAGAAAAGACAGAAAACGCGAAGAGAAACTCTTAGTTGAACAATTCCCTGCAGGAACTTCTACCAGCCTCTGACAGAAATGCCAGGGATCTGTCAGAAGTTTTGGCAGACAGTCTTCCAACTGGAAAGTCTCCGACCTCACGAGGCCAGTCAAAAGATGAATATGTGGAAGAATTCACACGCCTCGGCAGTCCGGCCCTCGTACCTTTTTTTTTTTTTTTTTTTTTGGGTACCATAGCACTGGTGTAGAACTTGCTGGTAGGATATATATTTAGACAATACACCTTTATTTTCAAACAATGCGTAACTTTTTATTTTCAAAATGGTGGGGAGGTTCGGGATCCAAATTTTGGAAGGCCTAAGAACCACTGCGGGCCGATGGGATGGACATTGGCATCATAGTGCCCATCCAGCTCCCAAACGATGAGCATATTAGCATTACCGTCTTCACCCGAAAATATCACCCGGGCGAGATATTCGAGTCACCCCAAAGAAAAACAGATTTTTGAATCATTTTTCTTTTTATGCACTTTTTCAGAATAGTACGGCCCTTCAAATATAACGGGGGAAGGGGGTATACATGGGTTTGAAAGAGGGTTGAAAGGGGATCTGACATACAAGGGGTATGTTTTGGTTTGATTGTTTTTTCTTTTTTTAATTTCCGAATTTATAAGGCATTCTGAGGTGACTCTCAGCCAAAAGTTGGTTGCATTGCAATTCTAGACAACATATTTTTTTTACAGTTGTTTTTTTATTATTTTTTATTTTTTATTTTTTATGTTGGGCCCCCACCGAAGTTGCCACCAATTTACCAAATAAACGCCCGGTCGTTATAAACGAATATAACACACGCGGCACGTCATATTCGTATACAACACCCAGGTGTTATTTTCGAGTGAAGACAGTAGCACCTTCCTCTGTGTCTCTCTCCATAATTACAGCCAATCAATTTGAATACAACCCCTACGTTAGTGCTTTCTGCAACGCCTGGGCGATATTTTCGGGTGAAGGCCGTAGTGCGAATATGCCCATCGTCTGGGACCGAAACAGGCCACTGTCTGAATCGGGCCTGGGCGCAGACACTTTGGCCCAATATGGAGCTACTGGGCATATGCACCCTCCAGGCAAGGCAGCCAGCCAGCCCAGCCACTTTCCACATAGGAAAGTGCCGGGCTGCAAAGAAGTCATTCGGGCTCTTCTGTGTAGGGCGGCAGTGCTGCTGCATAGAGCGATGGCAGCCGCGAGCAGGAGGTGCCTGGCACATGCGGCTGCTTGTGGGGTGGAAAGTGCTGCAAAGAGGCAGCGCAGCGCCCAGCCAGCCATATCCGGGCTTGGGCGCAGGGATGTCAGCGGGGTATGGTGGTGGTTCTCGGTGGAGGACGATCATGGGGGAGAAGATGAGGGGGAGCATTGAGAGGGCGAAAGAGAGAGAGACAGAGACAGAGAGGGCATATACCTGGGTCGTCGTGGGGGTCTGCATGGGCGAGGTTCGCACATCCGGTTGTTTGGTCATTAGTGTAGGCCACTGTCTTAACCCGAAAACTAGGTATGTACCTTGTATTCAAGTTACCTCCGAAAAATGGGTTCTGAGAAATCGCTGTTAAATTTTGGAGTAGAAGGTACCCTCGAATACAAGGTAGGTACCTTGTATTCCAAGTGTGCCTTGTCTGAGATACTTC